AGACGTGTTCTTCACGTCGAATCCAAGCAGTGGACGCGGCGTCGCGACGCCGCGAAAATTCAAGGTCACGAAGTCATCCCGGAGAGTCATGGTGACTGTTCAGGGACCATCTTTTGCTGATATACTGGGGAAGCTTCGGGAAGCTCTGTTTGAGAAACGCCGAGGGAAAGTGGCCTGAGGTGTTCTCTTGCATAACAATCCGGCTGCGACAAGAGCATGGTGGCCATGAACAACGGGAGACGAGACTGGAGAAGTGCTTGTGTAAAGGCCTTATCACACTAGTACTTTTTCCGTCAATTTCTGGGGTTCCGTCTGAATTTGAAGCTTTCCGCAAGGATCGTCTACAAACGGAACGCCTCCCAGACCAAGACGGTTACGACCGTTTCCGTCTGACTAATTTCCGTGTTGATCTTGTGCTATTAATAAATTAGATAGGATGAGTGAATGTAAACATAAGCTAATATTTTAAAACATTCGTATATATAATATACATCATCATATTTCTTTAAAATAACGTAATATGTATGAGAATGTTCGTGTGATTCCCGGGACCTCACTCCGATCAAGGTCTATATAAGTACTTATATAGACCTTGACTCCGATAGCGCCTTGTTTGTTTACATGATTTTCATACGGAGTTCATTCGGAAACGAAAAAAATTGACGGAAAAAGTTCTAGTGTGATGGGGCCTTTAAGAAGGTGATTACGTTGAAAAAAAAAGTTGTGAACTTTTGCATTAGTATTGCTCATTCTTGGCCAAAAACTCATTGAACACCTCTCGTATTATCATTATTATCGTTAATAACTTTAATAATGACATGAGAAAAAAAATAATTGCGAATATTCAGGGAACTGGGTATACAGGTGTAGTTAAGTAGGCCTTGCAATGACTTCTAGTGATTAAACGTGTGTGCTATGTGTTTTTATGCGATCATATGTGCGGATTGTATATGTGTGCGAGGATACATAGCTAGAGGTTATTAAACATATCTATTACACCCCCCCCCCTTCCCGCTTCCTAAGAACCCGCTTTACCGAGAGAGGAATACACGAAGACAGTGTGACCGCCGAGGGCAGTGTCCACCAGGCCCTCCACACTCTCGGCGGCGAGTCTGACGGAGGTGCTCACTCTCACCCTCCCGCCCACCACACCTGCAGAAGAGCCGGGAGAATGACGTCATAATCATGCTGACGTCACTCGAAATCATTGTCTATTAAATTATTTGATTACCTTTCGATCGCTACTTGATGTCTCCTTTGTCGTTATTATGACATTTCATCGCGTTATCCAATATTTTATTTTGTTTTGTTTTTTTGGTCTGTGTTACTATTTTTGCTTTCGCTATCATTATCATTCTCACTTTTGTTTCATATCTGTTTTCATTACCACTAGCTTCTGGGGAATAGAAGTATCAATCTCATTATCTTTTTCCATCGCTGTTTATCATCATTGTGATGTTATCATCGTTCTTATTTTTATTGTCATGTTATGACATGTTATATGTTATCTTTAGTATTACTATTATCATTGTCATCATCGTTATTGTTATACATGTTATCGTTACCATTATAATTATCATTACTTTTGTAATTACTGGGAAAAATAATTTATAAAGAGAAATCAAATGAAACAATTGGAACCAGATGAAAGAGTGGGAGATTTTATTTGATAAGAGAGCAATAAAAGCGGAACTGTTGAGGGGGAGAAAGAGAGAGAGAAAGAGAGAAAGACAGAGAGAGAGAGGTAGAGGTAGAAACCAAACAGCGAGACACTTACAGACAAAGAAAGACATAGGCACGACAGCGAGAGGCGGACATACATACACACAGAGAAAGAGAGAAACAGAGAAACAGACTGACAGAACCAAAAACTGAGACAGACGCAGAAACATACAGATATATACATACATACAGAAAGAGAGAGAGAATAATGATAAGAATAAGAAAAATAAAAATAAGAAAGAGAAAGACCAAAGGCGAACAATGTGAATAAATACCAAACAAAGGAGAAGACATAAAAGAGAATCAAACTCGTAGAAAAATAGAAAGAGGCAAAAGAAGGCTAGTGAAAAGTTCGCGCCACAAATACGCAGACAATAACGGCCTCTGATATCCCCATCGGAGTACGGCGCTGTACTTATCAAGGTCATTTTCCCTTCGCATTGCGGAGTTGGCTGATAAATCTAATATTCGTGCTTTAGTTATCTGATATGCATATGTTACACACACACATACTCATATATAAATAAATATATATATATATATATATATATATATAGTTTGGTAAAGGAACATAAATAATCATTAATACACACACACACACACACACACAGCTTAATATGAATACTCAAGCTAGAAGGCGCACAGAGCTAAACGACAATTCTCTAAAAGATAATAACAATGTAATAAAAGATAGATAAATGATTATCACATTTAAAAGGTATCTGCCCCTCCAAAAAAATAAGTAATAATAATGATAATGTTAATGATAATAATAATA